GACTGAAAGTGACCATGAGACCATTAACCAACACTCCTTTTTGATTTGCCAAATAGCAGCAGCTCTGCATGCAGACTTGATGATTTTGCTTCCAGCTTGAGAGATGAGACAAAAATTGTGCTATCACAAGTTTGCAGGAACATCATGACCAGATCTGTGCTGATGGGGGCAAGCGACCAAGGATAGAGAGTCTCACGACCCTCCTTAGATCCTTGATGATATCCAGGTGTCCAGTTATCAGTCACCTCCTGCTCCCCCACTGCTCCCTCTTTTCCCAGCATAAAAGCTTGAAATCAACCCTGAGTTATGATGGGCCTTTAGGACAATAGTCCTCCCAACTTCCAACCTGCTGACTGGTTGAATAAAGCTTTCTTTGCCTGACACTCTGTCTCTCCATGTACCAGCTGAATCAGGGGGCAGCAGAACCAAACATTCAGGGTTACATTGCCTTTGCTCTTTTATCAAAGGTCAGTTGACTAGGTGGATCTACTTAAGGGCTTTATTCTGTTCCAATGATGTGTTTGCCTGTTCTTTTGGCAAGATCATACTGCCTTGGTTACTGCAGCTTTATAGGAGGCCTTGAAGTCACGTCATGTCAGTTCTCCTATTTTGTTCTTCATTGGCTATTCTAGAACAGCAAATAACTTGCTGAGTGTGCTGAATCTATAGAGAAAATTGGGAAAAACTCACATCTTAACAGTATTGAATTTTCATATCCATGAGCATGGAATATTTATTTAGTTCTTCTTTGATATTGTTCATTAGCATTTTAATAGTTTTCCCCATATAGATCCCATGCATATTTTGTTAGAAATATGCACCTAACTATTTAACTTTGGGGGGATGCTAATGTAAATTATATTTTAACTTCAAATTCCATTTGCTCATTGCTGGTATATAAGAAAGCGATTGACTTTTGTATATTAACCTTGTATCTTGCAGTCTTTCTGTTTTCACTGATGAGTTCCAGAATTTTTTTTCTTGATTCTTTCAAATTTTCTACATAGGTAAACAGGTCATCTGTGAACAAAAACAGTTTTGTTTCTTCCTTTCCAATATGTATATCTTGTGTTTCCTTTCTTTGTATTATCTAGGACTTCAATTTAATGTTGAAAAGCAGTGGTGAGAGGGGACATCCTTGCCTTGTTCCTGATGTCAGTGGGTAGTCTCTAAGTTTCTTACCATGAAGTATGATATTATTTGTAGTTTTTTCTGTAGGTGCTATATCAAGTTGAGTAAGTTCCCCTCTATTCCTAGTTTACTGAGAGTCATTATTATGACTGGGTGGTGGATTTTTTTCAAAATCTTTTTCTGCATTTATTAATTAAAAATTGTGATTTTTCTTCTTTAGCCTGTTGATGTGATAGGTTATATTAACTGATTTTTTAATGTTGAACCAGCCTTGCATTCCTGGGATAAATCCCACTTCATCATGGTGTATAATTCTTTTTTATAAATTATTGGATTCAATTTGCTCAATTTTTTTTTTTTGGATTTTTGCATCAATGTTCATGGGAGATATTGGTCTGTACCTTTCCTTCTTTATGGTGTCTTTGGTTTTGATATTAGGGGGATGGTGGATTCATAGAATGAGTTACGAAGTATTTCTTGTGCTTTTATATTCTGAAAGAGATTGAAGAGAATTGGTATAATTTGTTCCTTAATTGTTTGGTAGAATCCACCTGGGCCTGCCTGGTGCTTTCTGTTTAGGAAGGTTATTAATTATTGATTGAATTTTGTTCATAGGTATAGGCCTATTCAGATTATCTATTTCTTGTGTGGGTTTTGGCAGATTTGTATCTTCAAGGAATTGGTCCATTTCACCTAGGTTATCAAATTCATGGGAATAGAGTTTGCTACAGATTGAACATTTGTGTCCCACCCAAATTTATATGTTGAAACCTAATCCCCAATGTGAATGGTATTTGGGAGGTGAAGCCTTTGGTATGTGACAGGTCATTAGAGTGGAGTCCTCATGAATGGGGTTGGTGTCCTTATTAAAGAGACTCCAGAGAGCTCCCTTGCCCTTTCCACCTTATGATGACAAAGTGAAAAGTTGGGAGTCTGTGAGTCAAGAAATGGGCTCTCACCAGACACTGAATCTGCTGGTGCCTTGATCTTAGACTTCCCAGCCTCTTAACCTGTAAAAAATAAATTTCTGTTGTTTATTAGCCATCCAGTCTTTGGTGTTCTTTTACAGTAGCCTGAACAGAAAGAGTTTTAAAATAGTATTCCTTAATCATTCTTTTAATGTCCATAGGACCTATAGTGATATTCCTTCTTTCACTTCTGCTATTAATAATTTGTGTCCTCTCTTTTTTCTTGGTTAGTCTGGCTAGAGGTTTATCAATTTCATTGATTGTTTTAGAGAACCAGTTTTGGTTTCTCTATGGATTTCTTATTTTCCATTTCATTTGTTGCTGCCCTAATTTTTATTGTTTCTCTTTTTCTGCTTACTTTGGGTTTAATTTACTCTTCTTTTCCTAGTTTCCTAAGGTGGAAAGCCTAGATGACTGATTTTTAGATCTGTCGGTTTGCAAGCTCTTTGGGAGCTTCCCAGGTATAGTCTGAAACTGGTCCCCATACTCAGAGGGCAGGGAGAGATGAAAGAAAGAGGTGGCCACTCCATATTGGTAGGTATGAGGTTTAATAAGCAAGGGGACTGATCATAGTCCACCCAACGTTTGTCTTGGGTGACTACAAGACAAGTAGTCTCCACACCCACCCACCAGATCCTATAAATATGTAGAGAGGTACACATATGTGTACCATCCATGTGGTCTCAACACCACATCATTGTCTCAAGGCTGTGTCCTTGGGGCAGCCTCTGGGAGTGGAGAAGGCAGGCAGAACCCACATTCTAGGGTTGGGGGTGTGAGGAGCCTCTGATTGCCCAGTGTCAGCTCACAGGTCACCGAGTGATCACATCTTCTTGATGACCTCTGCCAACAAGACCTTTCTTCCTTTCTAGTGTGTGCACTTCATGCTACATGCTCCCTCTAAGCACTGATCCTTCCTCCTGCAGACATTTTGGTCTTTTCATTTTAACTTAATGCACAGTTCGTTTCAACCTCACCTGAGACTTCTCTGACCCATGTGTTATTTGGAAATGTGTTGTTTAAACTCCAAGTACTTTGGGATTTTTCAGCTCTTGTATCATTACTGACTTCTAGCTTAATTCCACTGTGGCCTGAGAGCAGATATATTATATGATTTCTCTTTTAAATTTGTTAAAGTGTGTTTTGGCCAGGATGTGGTCTATCTTGAGGAAAGTTGTCATACTTTCAGCTCCACAGCTTTTCTGGTTCCTTTCCTTTTTATTGATATTACCATTTGTTCAAACATGGTTTTATTGACTTGCCCATGTCTTCCTTTAGCTCTCTGAGTATCTGCTAGATGATTATTTTAAAGTCTTTGTCTAATCAGTTGGCCATCTGGTTCTTCCTCTGGGAGGGTTTCTATTGGTTTATTTTTCCCTTTATATGGTTCATCTTTCCTGTTTCTTTGTATGCCCTGTGATTTTTGTTGTTAAAAACTGGGCATTTGTTACAATGCAGTGACTCTGGAAATCATATTCTCTGCCTTTCCCCAGTTTGCTGTTTTTGTTTTATTCTGCAATAGGTTATCTCTGTGCTAGAGGTCAGCCCTTAGTGAAAGCTGAGGCCTCCTCAGGTCTTTTCTGGCATGTGCAGTAGTGACTTTCCAAATCCCCTTGTTTATGCAGTTGCTTTTGAATGCCCTGGTTCTTAAATGTCTGGCTCCAAAAAGAGGGAAAAGGAAAAACAAAGGAGAAAAGAAAAATATGGCTCTCAGTCCCCTGAGGCCACGTCACCTAGAAGGGTTTGAAGCAGTTGGGAGGGGGTGTCACAACAATGGCAGCCTGCCTCTGTCTGCACCTCCATGATAAGAATTAGCAGTCAGAACTCAGATCCCTGATATTTGAGGATGAAGTCCTTGCAGCCTACCTCAGCTCCCGGAAGCCACTCTAGGAACACTGGTATGGCTGCCTTCTGGGGGTTGGGGGACAGGTGACAGGCAGCTCCTATAGCTAAGGGTGAAAATGGACCAAAATTCACTGAAATTTTCCCTAGCTTTTCCCTAGAAGCTGAAGGTCCTCGTCTTTCTCTGCCTGGCATATTTCACTGAGCATAAGACCCTCTAGCTCTGTCCATGTTGTTGGAGCTCCAGAGCTCCAAAATAGTTATATGACAGATTCACTCATGTCCTGGTAAGGAGGGGGACTCTTGGTGCTCCCTGCTCCACTGTCCTCCCTGACATCACTCTTCAATTGCTCACTAATACTTTTAGGAACAAATGTTTAATCTGAAGATTCTCCTTTTAAAAAAAATGTCTTTCATATGCACCCTATGTTTAAAAAAACTCACAGCATTATTTACAATAGCCAAGATATGGAAGCAACCTAAGTGTCCATCAGTAGATGAATGGATAAAGAAGATGTGGTACATATACACAATGGAATATTATTCAGCCATAAGAAGAAAACAAATCCTACCATTTGCAACAACATGGATGGAGCTAGAGGGTATTATGCTCAGTGAAATAAGCCAGGTGGAGAAAGACAAGTACCAAATGATTTCCCTCATCTGTGGAGTATAACAACAAAGCAAAACTGAAGGAACAAAACAGCAGCAGACTCACTGGTCCCAAGAAGGGACTAGTGGTTACCAAAGGGAAGAGGTAAGGAAAGACGGGAGGGGAGGGAGAGAGAAGGAGATTAAGGGGCATTATGATTAGCACACATAATGTAGGTAGGTTACAGGGAAGGCAATACAGCACAGAGAAGACAAGTAGTGACCCTATAGCATCTTACTACACTGATGGATAGTGACTGCAATGGGGTGTGTGTGGGGGAACTGGATAATATAGGTGAATGTAGTAACCACAGTGTTGCTCATGTGAAACCTTCATAAGATTGTATATCAATGATACCTTAATAAAAAGAAAGTAATAACATCTTTAGCTTCTTGTTTCTGGTCCAGCACTTAAATAGATTGAAGTCATCACTCCCATCCTGGCAACAAGAAGAAAAGCTGAACAAAGAAAAATCTTCAACTCTTCTAGATCCTTCAGAGAACTGAAGTCTCAGGACAATCCACTTCCCAGCAAACTAGAGACAGGCAGGCAGATGCAGAGAATTGTAGCATCCCGGAGCAGAAGCCCACAGAGTTCTTGAACTGCAGTTGAGAAATTGAAGGGGGCTTAGCGTGGACATGCTTAAGAGTTAAAAACTCCAGGGCAGCCTCGTTGTAGGGGCCCCACATGTTCATGAGTGTTACCTCCAGGAGCTCCACCAGGTTGTCAGAGTGAAAATCTGATAAGAACCCTGTCTGCATCCAACATGAGAGGGGAAACTGCCTTTTGAACTATGCTAGAACATCCTGTTCTTAACAAGATCTGCCCATAAGGGAAACTTCTCCCAGAGCCTGACTGGCAGGGAGATGAAAACAGTCAGCTCTAGCCCTGTCTAGCCCTCCTGTCTCACCTAAGCAGGGAGGGCAGAAAAAAGTCTGAGGAGCACTTGTGGTTTCTGATGACTGGTTTGGTGTTTGGTATTCTGACCCTAGGAGGGTCTCCTCTCAGTGGTCTCACCTCTGGTTCTCTCCCGTAAACCACTCAGTCTGGGCTCTGTCTTCCCCAAGTGTCTTTCACCACATCCATTATGCTTGAGGATGCCCTGAGATTTAAACTTCCCCATGGTCAGCTTCAGTCAGCTCCTTGGGGCAGATGAGTGGGGAGAAAAGATGAGACTTCCTACTAAGTGTGGTGTTTCTTCTGGGGCAGCTCTGAAGGAGTCCTGATGTGCAGTCTGTGGTTGTGGCAGCAGGCAGGGGCCACTTCTTAATGGGGTGGTTCATGGACCTTGCGGGCTGTTGCTCCTGCCTGCATAAAAGCCAATCCCATTTATCTGGTATACCAGAGATTTTGGGAGTTCCTGGTGTCTTTTAGTCAATCTCTTTTTGCTTAAATTATCTAGACTCTATCCCATTTTCTGTAAATAAAACCATGGTCTCTCTTCTCAAAAGTCCTGCTTCATGACCTTAGGACTCAGCAGTATAAGCAGACATTGCAGAAATAAAGAAAAAAGAACAGTAAATACTTGAACACTATATGAACATTTCTAATTTCCTATATGGCCTAAAGGAAAGATTGAATTTCTTGTCAATGATGTTTGAGTTTCTGAAAGTTGTTTCTTCCATAGGCCTAATGATAAATTTGTGAATTTGTAAATTAGCATGAAATGAAGAAAAGTTGTCACCATCATATTGAAACTTTTGTTGTACATGTATGGTATGAGTAGGGAACTAGAGGGGGGCCATGAAGCTGGGAGCACAACAATCATCTACCTGAAACTCCCTGATCCAATGCCTGCCCTGGGCTGGATAGCCCTCAGTGTTTCTCCTGCTGGTGTGTTACTCATGAAACAGAGTCTCGGACAGGTGGTCCAGCTGGCAGGCCCAAATGCCCACTACTTGTTGTGTAGCTGAGGTCTGAGCCCCTAGACCTCCATAGGGTTGGTTACCAGGAACTACCCTACTAATCCACATACAGTTCAAGAGAAGTAACTCCCCATGAGGATCAGTAACATTGGGGAGGGAACAAGCCCTGGGCTGGTAAAATGACCCCTGTCCACTGCAAGGCACTTCCTTGCAGGATGGAAGCAGAAAGCTGTAGGCATTTGTGAGGAGGATCTGGGGGGCCAGGCCAGTAGCTGGAGTCTATATGTGGAGGTTCCTGTGGAGGTGGCATGAATGAGGGTAGGACTCTGGTCAAGTACAAGACTGGCTTAGGCCAAGCAGCAAAAAGTGTCCACTCCCCAAAGTTGGACCCGAGGCAGGGACCTGGGTTTTAATGATAAGTCACAGAAGCCAAATAAAGGCAACTGGAGCAAAAGGTGGGTTTCATTATAAAGGCCATGGGCAGAAAGAGGGGCTCTCCTGTCACCTGGCCTCAGGGTCTTTGCCTCTGCTCCCCTCCATGTCCCTACCTCTGTCTCCCTCACAGACCTGCCACCTCTACTCTGTGTCCCTCTGGAAGCAGTGGCCATCCCAGTCCGGTCATCTGTGGCCCAAGGCAGGTTCCCATCCCCCAAGGGGGCTGTGGATGAAGTTTGGTGGATACTCAGGGTGACAGACCAGGCAGCCTAGGAGAGGCAGGAAGCCCAAGCTGGAGCTGGGCCCACCAGGATGCCATGGCAGGTGTCCTGGGAAGGGAGTCATGGTGGGTGGAGGAAGAAGCAAGAAGTTGAGGAGGTCCCAGGAGAAGGATGGTGGAGGTGTTGCTGACAGCAAAGTAGAGTGGGCAGGGGTGATAATGTTCTATTTTGGAGCTGTGTGACTGGAACAGACAGGGCTGGGTGGGAGGTCAGAGGCTGTTCTACCCTGTGTGGCAGAGACAGCAGTGATGGGCAGAGAGCTGATGCAGTGGGTGGGAGACAACAGGAGAGGAGCCCACAGGGGGAGCTCTCCCTTCTCCTGGCAGCCACATCTGCCTGCACCCTCCTGCCCTTTTCCTCCATGCCATGTCCTAAGGGCCCGAACCCACAGTGAAAGCCTTCACTGCCAGAAGAAAACCAAAGAGCACATATTTCTATTGGGGTGCAGGCAGACTCCGTGGACCCTCAGGGTCTACAGAGTTTCCTGGTCTCAGCCTCCAGGCATCTGGAGATTCATAATATCACCTAACCATTCACTAGACATTCCCTGAGCACCTGGTACCAGGATTGGTGCTAGGGATGGGGTAAGATGCAGATCCCAGTTCTTGCATTGCTCACAGGAAGCCAGGCTGACCTAAGTCAGGGAAGGCCAGGCAAGCCTAAGGAGGAACATGGACTAGACCTGAGTCAGAAGATGGATTCCTATGGATGTGACAACTGTGCTGAGACCTGAAGCCCAAGGAGTCCAGAAGGCTGGATGGGAGCTACTAGGGGAAGGGGCCACAACCTTGATAACAGCTAGAGCTATTCCAGCACTTTGGCTCAGTTCCCTCCAGACTGGGCTATGAGCAACTCTGCACCCTGTGCCCTCCCATCAGAGGAGCCAGTCCCAGTATATCTGTAAACAAAAGCCATGGGGAACGTACAGCGAATGTAACACCAATGGATAAAGCTGAAAGCTTCTCCTCTAAGATCAGGAACAAGACAAGGATGTCCACTCTCACCACTCTTATTCAATATAGTACCAGAAGCCCTAGCCAAAACAATCAGACAATAAAAAGAAAAGTCATCCAAACTGGTAGGGAAGAAGTATAACTATCATTATTTGCAGAGGACATGATACTATATCTGAAAAATCCTAAAGACTTCACCAAACATCTATTAGAACTAATAAATTCAGTAAAGATGCAGGATACAAAATCAATGTACAGAAATTTGGGGTGTTCCTGTATACTAATAATGAAGTAGCAGAATGAGGAATTAGGAAAACAAACCCATTTACAATTACATCAAAAAGAATAAAATACCTAGGAATAAATTTAACCAAGGTGAAAGATGTGTACTCTGAAAACCATAAGACACTGATGAAAGAAATTGAATTGACACAAATAAATGGAAATATATACTGGAGGAATTTATATTGTTAGAATGGCCATATTGCCCAAAGCATTCTATAGATTCAATGCAACCTCCATCAAAATATGAATAGTATTTTTCACAAAACTAGAACAAATAATCCTAAAATTTGTATGGAACCACAAAAGACCCCAAATATCCAAAACAACCTTGAGATAGAAGAACAAAGTGGGAGTATCAACACTCCTAGATTTTGAACTATACTACAGAGCTACAGCAATCAAAACAGTATTGTAACAAATATAGACACATAGACCAATGGAACAGAAGAAAGAGTCCAGAAATAACCCCACGCATATATGGTCAATAGTCTTGATGATCAAGGAGCCAAGCATATACAATGGGGAAAGACAGCCTCTTTAATAACTGCTGTTGGGAAAACTGGACAGTCATATGCAAAGGAATGAAACTGGATCATTGTCTAATGCCACACACAAAAATAAACTCAAGATAGATTGAAGACGTAAGTATAAGACCTGAAACCATAAAATTCCTAAAGGAAAATATAGTAAACTTAGGGATATGAGCTTTAGCAATATTTTTCTGGATCTGTCTCCTCAGGCAAGAGGATCAAAAGCAAAAATAAAGAAGTGGGACTACATCAAACTAAAATAGTTCTGTACAGAAAAGGAAACCAGCAACAGAATGGAAAGGCAACCTACTGAATGGAAGAGAATATTTGCAAATGATACATTTGATAAGGGGCTAATATTCAAAACATATAAACTCATACAATTCAACACCAATAAACCAAACAGTCCAATTAAGAAATGGGCAGAGGACCTGAATAAACATTTTTCCAAAGACATACAGATGCCAACAGGCACATGAAAAGATGTTCATCATCACTAATTATCAGGAAAATGCAAATCAAAACCACAGTGTCACCTCACAGCAGTCAGAATGGCTAATATCAACAAGACGAGACAAGTGCTGGTGAGCTGCACTGTTGCTGGGAATGTGAATTGGTTCAGCCACTGTGGAAAGCAGTGCAGAGATTCCTCAGAAAACTAAAAATGAAAATACCATATGACCCAGTAACTCCACTTTTGGGTTTTTACCTGAAGAAAACAAAAAAACTAACTTGAAAAGAATCTGCACCTGTATGTTAATTGCAGTGTTATTTACAATAGCCAAGATATGGAAGCAACCAAAATGTCTACTGATATATGAATGGGTAGAGAAGATGTGGTACAAATCTCTATACAGAAGATACATGTGATGGAATATTATTCAACCATAAAGAAGAACAAAATCTTGCCAATCACAGCAACATGGATGGACCTAGACGGTATTATGCTAAGTCTAAGTGAACTAAATCAGACAAAGGAAGACAAATATCATGTGACTTCCTTATATGTGGACTCTAAAAAACAAAACAAACATAAATACAGAGATGAAACTGGTGGTTGCCAAAGGGAGGAGGGAGGAGGATGGGTGAAATAGTTGAAAGGAATAAAGGGGTATAAGACAATTATAAAATAAGTTTCACGGCTGAAAAGTACAGCATAGGGAATATAGTCAGTAATATTGTAGTAACTTTGTGTGGTGACAGATGGTAAGTACACCTATCATGATGAGCATTTTGTAATGAATGTAATTGTTGTATCCCTATCTTATATACCTGAAACTAATATAATATTAATGTCAACAGATTAATAAATTAAGTAAAATGAGTAGCAATAGCAACGACCTGACAAGGTGAAAGCAGTCCCTCCTGGTGGTTTCCCTACAGGGTACACAGCAGATGGCTGTGGCTACCAAGCTACCTCACAGTCAATTCCTCTGGTCCTGCCGGACTTCCAAGGCCCTCACCACCCCTCTCTGCTGGGAAATTGTGCAGACAGCACCTAGGAGCATCCAGGGTACTAGCCCACCCCCCATCCATCTGCACATGCTCCATCTGCCTATTTAGTCAGAAAAATTAATTCAAGTGCTGCAGTGACCCACCTGTGGACATGCCCAGTGACCCTGAACTTGAACTAGTGTTAGGGGGCTTGCTCTGGGCCAGCCTCAGAAGTGGGGCTAGGAGGGTGGGGATGGGTGCTGTCAAGAGGTGTGTAATCCAGATGTATTCATTTTCAGCCCCTGGATGTGTGGGGACCTCCAGGTATGAGGATTCAGCACTTTACAGGTTCTGTACACAGGGCCATCTTGGCCATTTATTCTCCTGGAGGGGGACCCAGACCCCCAGCCTAGTGCCCCATTATCTGCTCTGGGCTCAGCTTGTGCAAAGACCCCCAGCAGGTCCAACCTGGCTATGCCGCCTTCAGGTGTGTGCTGCCTTGGACAGGCTGCTCAGCCATATGGTGCCTCAGTTTCCCTACCTGGGAGGTAGATAATGGTCATACTGTATTGGTTAGGACTCGGTTTCGCTGTATGTATAAGAAACTCCAAATACCATGGCTTTAATCATATAGAAGCTTATTTTTCCTTGTGTAAGATATGGAGGGGAGGTCTAGGTGCTATGTGGTGCTCCCAAGTTGGGAACCCAGTTGGGTGGGAACCCCACTGGGGCCACCTCATGGACCCCACAGCTCTGGGGAGTGGGTGCCAGCCATGTTCCAGGCAAGGAGGCTGAGGTGGACACACATTGTCCCTTAAGACCAAAACTGACCCACGATATGGGTTCTGACCCCACCTGGTCACACCTACCAGCAAGCGAGGCTGGGCAAGCAGAAGCCAGCCAGTCTAGATGAGGAAAGTGAGGCAGGGGTCATTCAGATTCACGCACAGAGCGGGGTCCAGAACCAGCACCTGGCTCCCAGGCCTGCTCTGTGGGGTACCTCCCTCTGCATCTCCACATACCAGCCTTTCAGAGCAGGGAAGTCAGGAAGGCTGCAGGCAAGTGGTTGGAGGCCCACCTGCCAGTCTCCCCACTTCACTACAGACACTCCTGCCTTTTGGCTGCAGTAGACATAGGGCAAAGCAGCAGACACACTGCCGCCCAGAGTGGGGATCCAGCCTCCAGTGTGTGTGGGAAGGACTACAGGGTGGACAAGGTAGGCTGTAGGGCCAGCCTCAGCCACCAGACCCTCAGAACAACACCCAGGCGTGTGGACAAGCGGCAGACAGTGGATTTCTCTTGCCAGGGTTGATGTCAGCACACTGGAGGGTGGACGGGTGCCTGCCACCCTTCTGGCCTTGCAGGCTGAGGCTCTGGAGGGATGGAGCTTCAGGCCAAGCTGGGAAGACAATTCAAACAAAATTCCCTGCCAACACACAAAACCTCTCCACAAAACTCACAAGAAAGAAAATATTTATTGCTGAGTAAGCATTCAACCAGAACTCTGAGCACTCCAGGCAGCCCGCCAAGAGGTTGCAAAGATGGGGTCTTTTTACAGCCAGGTCAGCCCACCATAGGGGGCTGAAAGCAGGCCTCTGTGCTCCCCTGAGACCGGGAGGAGGGAAATAAACTCTAGACTGGAGTGGTGCCCTCACAGATGGCTCCCAGATCTACCATCCTGGACAGTAAAACTGGCAGCATGCTTATTGAGCTTTTTAACAGATCTACACAAGAAGAGGAAAGAACTTGAATTTATAAGTTTTCTAAGGGAAATGCTAAGAGAAAAGGGTGGAGAAAAGTCTTGTTTCCTTTTTTGCACCAGGGAATATTAACTATTCCCTTTAATTTCCATTTGTCACAAATTTCCATTTCCCTTTAATTTCCACCCCACCTGCTCCACTGCAAGCCCTGTGGGAGACTCAGCAGGACAGCTGCCCAGCCCAGACCTGGCTCAGTGGCCCTCGTGAGCACTCGAATTTCCCCCTGGTCCCTGAGTTCTGCATTTGCAACCAGCCCCCATGAGGCCCAGGCTGCTGCTGGGGACAAAGCCTCTGCATCCAGGGTCTGTGCTGTGCTGGGGAGACCGGCAGTACTTCCTGTGCACCCTCAGGCTGACTGGAGCCCTGGAGGAGGAGGAGGAAGGGGGCAAGGCTGACAGATACCCCAGAGTCCCAGGAAATTTCGGACACAGGCAAGAGGCTCAGAGACATGCTCAGGGAGTCCAGCCAAGTGGACTCTGTTAGGGTGCAGGGGGTGACATCTGGAGAGAGTGGCTTAGCTTGGGGGTCCCCTAGAAGCACTGAGGCTTTAGCTTCTAGAAAAGCAGGAAGCCTGGGGTTGCATGTGGTCCCTGGATGAGGCCTCTTTGGGGAAAAACTGGGCAGAGGGGCCCTAGACCCTGAGTCACGCAGCAATGGGATCCAAAGGTGTGTTGGCATCTGTGTCTGTTTCTGCATGGGGGTGCTACCTGCCTGTGGCAGGTGGGCCCCTCCCCACCCTCCCAGCCATGCCCACCTGGCTCCACCTGCTCCTACAGAGTTTGGTCTCTGCTCTGTGGACCAGCTCTCTGCTCTCCACAACCACCATGCAGAGACAAGCCACCCAGATGAAAGAGCCTTCCTTTGGACACAACCTGAAGAGAGCACTGGTGTGGTCCCAGCTCCTTGGGTTTGAATTTTTTACCTCCTGGCTCCTCAGAGACAGCGGGCTTGCACACATCACACAGCTAACTCAGCACTGTCCAGTAAAAAGGTCAGGTTGGCCAGAAATGAGAACCAAATACATCATTTAAAATTTACTAGTAGCCACGTTAAGGAAGTAAAAAGAAATAGGTAAAGTAACTATTTCCATGCAATCTCGTATATTGAAAATACTATCATTTCAACATGTAATCAATGTTTAAATTGTTGAGATATTTTACATTCTTTTTTCTACCAAACCTTCAAACTACGGTGTCCAGTTCACACTGGCCATATTCAAGTGCTCAAAAGCCACAGGGGCCAGCGGGGAGCATATTGGGCAATACAGCCCTGATGCAGCTCCTAGGTCAAACCCCTTCTCTGCCTTGGTCTCTGTCTCTTTTGTCTCTCAAATACACAAACTCTAGACTAATGGCAGGGGGGAAGGATATAGTTCATGAGGTGACCACACCCAAAGTGTGAACAGAAAACGTTTTTAAAAGCAGAAGCATGACTTGTCCATAGATATAAAATGATCACCTGTCAAAGGTTTTATTTACTTGTTAATTCATGGGGAACCAAGACTGGTTCAGAGGAGGATTCTAAGAGCAGATGTGTGGATGGGGAGTCAGGAGTGCCGGTGGGAGCCCACCAGCTCCTGCGCACAGGACAGGGGAGTTCCTCACCCTCCCACTTGGTATTTGCCTAGCTCTTAGTCATTAACAACATAAAGCATTGCAGGAAAGCTCAAAAAGGAGGAAAGGGGCGGAGATCCCACAGAATCTGCCAGGAGGGGCGCGGGGCGCCCTGGGGAAGACACCTGCAAACTTCTTGGTCCATTTCAGAGTCAACCACCGCTTTTCCCTCTGGAGGCTTGAATTATAAAGTTATCCCTCACTTTTTGACATCAGTGTAGAATTTTAACACCCACCTGGTTCTGTTCACCCACTGTCCTGGCAGCATGCACGGTTCCAGGGTCCAGGTGGCCTGGGGTGTGTTGGGGTGGGCTGGCAAGAGGCCTGGCCCATTCTCCCAGCACAGCATCACCCTCAGACCCCCTTGGCTGGCCCCACCCCATCAGTAACAGACAGGCCACCACTGCAGGCCTCGTTCAGAAATAATGTTTATTGGGGTGTCCCCGAGGATCTGGCCCTGGGTCACAGCCACCCCTGGGTCACTCCTCTCTCTCGTCCCCGTGGGTGATGATGTAGCAGAGGGACTTGTAGTCGATGTTTCCTGCCAGGTCCACGGGTGTCAGGGCAAACATCTGCTCCACCTGGGGGCAGCCCCACTCCCAGGTAAGCCCAGCCAGGGAGGCCTGGGGCTGGAGTTCGTGACCTGAGGGAGACTGGGACCCTCACCCTGACCACTGGGGCTGTACTCTGGCCCTTGGCTTTTTTTGCCCCAAACTCAAAACCCCTAGTTAATGGTTTTCTGTTGCCTGACTCTGGGCAGACTGGGGAGCGGGGGCATGAGTGGGCCATGGGTTGAAGGGCCCACCCTGGCCAGGGTACATTGCCTGCTCTTCTCTGTGCCACCCCCAATGTGTACGAGCCTCTTCCAGGTGCTGGGGGGGTGTGATGCTTCCCCCAAAACCCAGGGCTCAGTACACACAGCCCTCCCAGCCTGGCACCTCACCCAGATAACTGCCTCCGAGAGGGCAGTGGGTTCCCAAGGCCTCGCATGTCCTGCAGGGTGAGGGCCCTGCAAAGGGGCCAGGGAAGGGTGTGGAAGTCCACAGGGGGTCCTTACCTCAGCCAGAGAGAATTTGTCTGCCTGGGTCATGAGAAGCTGCTTGAACCTGTGGGGGATGGGGAGCAGGGGGAGAGCCTGGGGGAGGCAGCCACACCCCCAGAGCAGAGGGCCCCCCTGCTCGGACATAGTGCCCCTGTCCCCATTCCGGGCTCCACTTACTCCTCCTTGCTCACCACGCCCTTGCCACTGGGGTCAAACACACGGAAGGCACTCAGGATGGCTTCCTCAGGGTCTGTCCCTGGGAGGCCAAGGGAGCCAGGTGAGCTCACGTTCCAGCCTGCCCAGCCCGACCCAGCAAGAATCCAGGGTGCAGGGGACCTCCACATCCCAGGAGCAGTGGGAGGGTGCTCCCCAATATACAGTGCCTCTTGGGGCTCAAGGGGTCACCATCTGTTGTCATTCTGAGGTAGGCAGGCCTGGCTGGGAGACCTGGATTTGATCTCCCATTTCCCAACCCAAAGTGACCAGTGAGGTGACTGATGCCCATGAGTCTGAGTGTGTGAGCAAAGGCCAGGTGAGAGGTGGACAGGGCCCAGGTAGGATCCAGGTGGGGTCCAGGAGGGGTTCAGATGGGGTTCAGGTGGGGTCCAGGAGGGGTTCAGATGGGGTCCAGGTGGAATCCAGGAGGGGTTCAGATCAGCCCAGGTGGGGTTCGGATGGGGCCCAGGTAGGGGCCAGGTGGGGTCCAAATGGGGTACAGGCAGAGTTCAGATGGGATTTGGGCAGAGCTTAAGCTTGCTGTCCTGCCGGGGCATCCAGCCTGCCCAGGCTTACCATTCAGCTTTTCCCCAAAGAGTGTGAGGAAGACTGTGAAATTAATGGGGCCCTTCCCCTCCTGCAGCATGGCATCCAGCTCCTCCTCAGGTACACCCACCTTCCCTGTGGAGAGGCACAAGACGGCCTCAGGGACCCTGGGCATTCCTAAGCAGGGCCCAAGCTGCCCTCCCTCCTCCCTGTGGCAACTCTGGGGAGTGAAGAGTGGAATGGAGGGATGGTGTGACAAGAGGGTTGGGGTGGGAGGTGACAGGGGAGGGAGGTGTGAGCCAGTGGAAGGGAAGGCAGGGCCTGACCCACAGAGTAGGCCTGTTCTTGCCCAGCAACTCTGAGCAGAGCCTCTGCAGGAGCAGAGCAGACGACGGGCACTCACCCAGCTGGGAGTAGGTCTCCCGAAGGTCCAGCTTGCAGATGATGCCATCGCGGTTTTGGTCTATGCAGCTGAAGGCCTGTGCAGTGGGAGGCCAGTCTCCTGGGGGAAGCAGCTCCCACCCCAGGAAGATGGGAGATGGGGGAGTTCTGGGGACTGTGAGGAGCAAGGACAGGGACGAGGACGAGGACCACTGACCAACAGAGAAGAGGGGTGCAGGCAGGGCATGGTGCCAGGATGGATGCCAGACTGTGGGGGACACTCACTTCCTTGAATTCCTGGATCTGGGCTTGCTCGAACATGGAGAACACATTGGAAGAGCCACGTTGGGCCTGCTTGGTGGCTGTGGCCTTGACCCGGTTCCCCGCCTTCCTGCTGGCCTGCAACACTGGGGGTGGGCTGGGGTCCTCTTCCTGGCTCCCCGAAGGCTCCCCCCATGCATTCCCCAGAACATTTCCAGGAGAGCCTGTGTCTGGGTCCTCTTCCTAGTCCTGCAGCTCACCCCCTCTGGGCCCAAAGCAGGCACACAAGTCACTGTCTGCTCCTCCAACCTGAAGCACAGCACCTGGGAAGCTGTTGGCCTGGTGCCCCCCACCCGGCACTCACCATCTCTGCAGCAGCCTGGTCACTGCGAGGGGCCCACAGTCCCCATTATTAAGTCTCAGCCTTATCACCTGGAGCACCAAATAAGGACAGGAGAAGAACACAGGCCCAAACTTGGCAGCCCTGCCTGGGCTGGGGGAAGACAGGGCCCCAGGCAGACACCAGCCACATTCCGGATGACCTTCAGGCTCCCAGCGTGTAGCATCCGGGTGTCCACCCACCTGGCAGCAGCAGGTGCAAATGCCTCCCAAAGGCCAAGCAGGCCTATGCTCCTTATCACTCTGCCTGCCGAATGAGGGGCACCCACTGAACGGGGGCCCTGTTACCCCTGACTGACTGTCCTGCAGAGCCAGCCCAGAACCTACCTGTCCTGAGAACAGTTAGGACAAGGGCAAGTCCCGAGCCTCCACTGCACTTGGGAGGGCAGAGAGTGGCTCTGACGGTGGTCTCTAGCCTGAGACCCCCAGGGATTCCCAGAGATTTTGGTGAAGAGGCTTGGCCCTGGCTTCTAACCAGAGGCAGAGGCAGCCCTAAGCTGGCTATTACCCCAAACAGAACCTGCATGTTCTGCTTTTGGAGCATGGAGCACTGCCCAGACCCTAAGCAGCCCCTTAAACTCCTGTGAAAGTGGGTCATGGGCCCTCATGGGGACTCAGCCATGGAGTGAGGGGCCCAGGCACCCTTGGCTGTCCTGCAGCAGCAGCCTTCCAGTCTCCTTGCAGGTCCAGGGCAAAGAGGGGCTGGGGGCTCAGGACTTTCTAGAACAGAAGGGGTGGGGCACTGGCTGCTCCCGGTCCCAGCTCTGCAGCCCCACAGCCCTGTGAGTGAGGAACACAGAGAGCCCAGCTGGTAGAGCAGGGAGGGCTTCCCGTCCATGGCCCAATGCCCTTCTGTATAACAAGGAAGGATTTTATAACATGGCCGTTACTCTCCTGAAAATAAATTCATAGTACATATAACAGAGGATCTGAAAAAAATCATACAAATGCCCTGAACTGTAACAAGGGACAAGCAGGAAGTAACCTGTATTAAAATGAGATTCAGCATGTGAGCAGTGATGATGAAGTAACGGGATACTTGCACAAGCTTCTGATGCATGAATCCAATTCAGGAGCACTGAGAAGGTGAGAGGCAGTCCCACCTGAGACACACCAGAGAAAGAACATCCAGGCAGGGTGAGACTGCTTCAGATTGCCAGTCTCTGTGGGTTCTACACAAAACACCATCAGCCCAGGTTTGACAGGAAGTCTCTCTCACTGATAAGTGAACGTATGCTGAAGTCATACAGTGTGTGCTTGCATGTAACCGTGTCCATGTGGGACAGCGCACTAGGCCCCCAGCCTGGCTGTAGAAGTGCCACAACATAGGCCCACCACCCAGCAGCATCTGGAAGGACCTCGGAAATGACATGACTTCATGTATCCCTGACCCTCAGGCACTGCCCTTGTGGCTCCAAGGTATTCCTGTTGAGACCAACCTGCAGCAGGACAAGCCCCTAGACATCAGCCTCAACCCACGGACCCCCCACTCCTTCCCAGACACTCCTGGGGACTTCTGGAGACCTGAGATACTGAGCAATTAGAAACCAGTAGACCCACCATCTGCATCCCATAGGCAGTCTCACCCCACCCATCCAGGCCACCCCATTTCTGTTCCTACAGCCTGTTCTGTTGCTCAGCACAGCCCAGAGTAGCTGGGCTAAGGGCATGGTGAATTCCAAGACATGCGAAGCCTGAAAGCATCCTTGTGCGCATGAGCATGTCTATATACTGTCCATAGTCCTTGTGCACAGAGGTCAAAGAATGGTGGACAAGGCCATGCTCTAGCCTTTTTTAAACTTTTAATTAAAAAAATACCACACAGTCCTACCCAAGGTGGCCATGGAGAGGATGGTGTGGTACATGGGGATCTGGGAAGCAAAGAGGGGCCCAGGTGGTCCCTTGGGTGCGAGCTGTGCTGCCCTGGGTATCTTTCTCCCATGGGAGCCCTTTACATCCTGGAGGTGCTCCCAGGCCTGCCTGGGGGTTGGGGGAGCTTCTGCTGTTACAGGGCCCCCCAGGGCAGGGGCTTTGGAGGCTTGGCCTCCTGAAATGGCAGTATGGGAGGGAAAAGGGACTGCCATCTCCAGTCCTCAGGGTACCTGCAGCCTCCACTTCCAACGACTACACGAGGCAAGCAAGCAGCTGCCCCCCACCCCCTGGGGAACGCTAGGTCTGGCACCAACCCTAGGTGGTGAGGGGGGTGCTGCCTCTGTGCTTGTTGAATTCCCAGGGAGGCCAGGCCACAACAGGGCCCAGAGAGCACCCCCTTTCCGGAGTTGCTGCCCAGGTGTGGCCAAGCCAGGCTGAAAGCATCAGGAGGCAGGCACAAAGTCCTGACTGGGCAACTCTCTTCTGGGTCCTCGATTCCAGCAAGAAAGGTGAGGGACTTTGGGGGTCTCCATTCCTGCCCATCTCAGCTCCCTCCCAGTCAAGGCTCTAGGGCTGTCCCATCAACTGCGTTTGAGAGAGGACTGCCGGGAGCCTTTCCCCACGTTCCAGCAGTGGTATCAGGGATGGGAGGCGCCCAGGGTCCTTACAAGGAGACCGGGCCAGGCTGGGAGCGCCTGCAGGGAGCGTGTCCTCTTAAGCCCAGGTCCAGCGGCCGGAGGTCTGCAGCGCTCCACGTGGCCTGTGATCTCACTGGCCCAGCAGGCAGGCCTTCTTACAGGCCACCGCAGAAACCAGGGCCGCGCCCCGGCCGCTGCCCTCCTCGGACTCGATGAAGGTGATCTCGCAGCTGGGCGTCAGCCTGCGCACGCTGGAGTGGAACCGCTCCTTGAAGCTGGGGGGAGAAACAGCGGCGCTGCCACGCTTCTCACACGGTCTCCCTCGCCCACCGCCAGGGCCGGGCGCAAGCCCAGAACCGCGTCCCCTGTCCACTGGCGCGCCGCGAGTGAAGCCCCTAGGCACGCGGAGGGCGCTGTCCGGGCCGCACCCGACGGCGGGGCTCACCTGGGGTGCAGCTTGTACACCGAGCCGTCCACGCCCACGGTGATGCGCATCACGTCTTCACTGCGGCTCTCCCGCATGCGGTTGATGACGCCCGCCAGCCCCGCGGCGCACATGCGCGCGGCGCGCGTGGACACGCTCTCGCAGGCGCGGCGCACCAGGTCGCAGTCGGCGGCCGAGGCGCACAGCCCCAACGTGCTTAGGATGTTGTAGATCTGCTTGCGGTCGCCCGAGTCGCTGCGGGGGGGCGGGCGGCGTCGCTGGAGGATCGCGGCCCGGCCTGACGGCCAGACCCCATGGCGGCGGCCTTGTCCCTCCCGCTGCCCACCGCAGCCCTGCACAACGCCGGGACTCGGGCTCCCGGGGCAGCTGCCCCGCCCACAAGGCCCGGCAGTCACCAAAGCCCAGGGCTGAGCGCTCTAACGGGGGCGACGCTGTCGCGCCTCGTGCTGTTGCGTGGATGAGGTGACGACGTCCACGCGGATGGGGAGCCACGGGAGGGACAAGCGGGCTCAGTCAGCTCTCCAGTGGCAGACTCCACTGTGGGCCCCCAGTCCTGCCCGCAGCTCTGCCCTCGGTGCCCCATCCCTGGGCCTGGACGCTGCCTGAGCCCCGCCCCCACCTCCCACGGGCTTTCACCCCCGCCCCGCCCCAGGACCGAGCCCCGCCCCGAGTTCTGCCCGCGGCGCCCCACCAGGGTACCACTCCCCCGCAGCCGCCTCACTCCCGCACTGAACCTGTCCCAGCCCGACCACACGTGGAGCCCGGGCCCCTCCTTGTGCACGATGCCCCACCCCTGCGCACGCCCGCTGTACGCCGCTCGCGCCCACTTACCTCTCCACCTGCGACACGAAGCGTGTTTCGAAGGCACCGCGCGTGCGCAGCTGCTCCGAGGCCTCCCCGTGGAAGAGCAGGTTTTCGTCCACGAGCTTGAGCAGCACGAGCCTCACCAGCTCGCCCATGTATTTGCCGCCGATGAGCTTCTCGTACCTGGACGGAGGGCAGCTGGTCAGCCCCAGCAGGCCTGGGAGGGGCCTCCGCTACACCAGGGAGGTCCCCACACACCTCCACCGCCATCGCGGCCACGAGGAGGTGCGTGAGGCACTGTGACACCCTCGGCAAACCTGGGCTCGTGCCGTTCCCTCATTTGTCCACCTTGCTTTAAGCCCTCCCAGAATTGGAACGAACTTTGGCGCCTTGAGAGCAGGCCCGGCTTTTCCACTGGGCCTCGGGCAGACCTTCAGAGACCTTCCTTCTGACGGGCCCTCCCACGGCTGCGAGGTGGGGTGCTGTTCTCATCGCCTATTTATGGCTGGGAACACTAAGGCTCAGAGGGACTAGTGGCCGGTTTGGCCATGCCTCTGCAGCCCATAGGGGGCCCATGTGCTCTTGGAATCCACCAGCTGCACCTTGGGGCTCCGCAGACGCGGACCTCTGTATTCTCATCTTGAAGCACATTGAGCACCACTGCCCAGTCGCGACCCATGAGTCGGGGGAAGCTAAGGAAGGGATTGGCGCATGCCAGGAACACGGTCAACGAAGGTCAGCAGTGGCTCAGGAGCTCGGAGGGTACTTCTCAAGTGGTGTTCTGCCAACGCGTTTTCTTCCACAAAATACCACTGCACTTTGGGGAGCTCTGGGTTAAGCCCAGCTAACGTTGCTGAGGCTGTCAGAGCCTTCTTATGCCCGGTCACCTGTCTGTAGCAGGGAGGTTCTGGCTCATATAAGGACTCATCTAAGGGCAGCCCCTCTTTTTGAGGACTGAATATCTGACTGTTGTTGGTTAGAGTACACAGAGGGGCAGGACGTGTGATGATCTGAGGGAAGACTCGGGCCAGCTTTCAGAGAGGCTGTCAGTTTTCCCAGAGCTGTTTGAAAACAAACCCATTGTCTGGGTGCAGGGAGGCAGTGCTTACAGCTGCTGGCCTGGGTTCAGCGAGTTCTCATCCACCACGCGGTCGTACTCCAGCAGAAACTCGTCTAGCTCGCCAGAGTCCCCAAAGGCGCCCCACTCGGTGTTGACGCACATACGGCCCTCATCCCCTTCCACCAGCTCCACATTCTGCATCTCCTCCATGTAGCAGGCATTGCAGCCTGTGCCTGCCGGGTGGGGGGGGTGGGGGGGCGCCAGCATCAGGCCCACCTCCTGCCTGCAGGAAGCCCTATGCCCCTGTCTTCCCAGCTTCCAAGCTCCTTCCACACCCACTGTGTGAAGGGTGTCCTTGAATCAGTCAGAGGCATGGAAAGGGCTGCTCCCAGGCCTAGAAACCTGGGTTTGCTGGGTGACCTCAGGTAGTGACCCACCTCTCTGGGCTGCTCCTTTTCCCCAATAGCGGAGAGTAACACCTCCTTCCCTTATCTGGGTAGTTGGGAGGATTGGCTGTCAAAGGGCTTTGCCAGCTAGAGGTAAGTGTGGGATGTTAGGACTTCTTAGTGCCTATGCACCACCCTTGTTTTCTGGCACTTTCCATGCATATGTTGGAGCTTCTCTGCACTGTGCTCCATTTCTAGGGGGCACCAGAGATGAGGCACAGTGTGGACCGCAGGAAGCAGCCCCCAGGCTCCTGCAGATGGGACAGGCTATGGAATTTGCAGTTTGCAGGGTCCCATGCAAAGTGACAACATGGCATGTTTTGTTCACAAATCATCAAGTTTCAAAATCGTGACAATAGAGTGTCAATCTGAGCATGAGTGCATGGGCTGCACGCTGTGATGCCATCGACGGCAGCAACCCAGATGCTGGCCCAGAGCCTGCCTGCTGCAAGTCCGGCCCCAGTGAAAGCCACCTTTCCAATTTTTTGTGGAGAAAAAAAACAAATCCAGATTTGGATGTGAATTCAACCAATTTTTAGATCTTGGTAATTATTATAAACATATTTAAGCGCTGGGCAGAGTAACCAAGAGTGTTTGCAGGGCAGATGTGACCACGCCACCTTCTGCCACCTCTATATGCAGGAGGCACATGTCTGTGGCATGCAGCTGCAGGCTCAAGTGGGGTGCTGTGGGGAGCCAGGCCCCGCAGCTGCCCCAGGCAGCTCTGGAGGAAAGGGCCCCCAGGGGCATGCCAGGGCTACTGGAGCTCTGTTTGGGCAGTACATAAAGACGACTTCCCATCTAAAGGGTGACCTGGAAGGAGACTCTAGAAGCAAGAGGAGAGACAGGCTGGCTGTAGCTCGGGCCCCAGCACAGTTAGAGATGGGCTTCTGAGGGCACAACACACAGCCCCTCAGGGCTGACTTGGGCGTGGAAGCAGATGACTTCATCACTGACTTTCTGGGTAGCCAGGCCCCTGAGCATCCAGGGAATTGCCTGCACACTGTGTGCCCAGCAGATAACTGATCAGCAGGGTCGCTCCTCAGCAAACACTCCCGATGCCTCCAGATGGCTGGGAAAAGCCCTGGGTTGGTGTGGAGGGCTGGCTGGAGCAGCACAGCCCCCTTTCCTGGCGCCTGCTTCCACTGGGGCTGGTGCAGCTCTGCCCAGGCTTGGTAAGAGCCCCCAGGAAGGGGTGCTTATCCTCTTCCCCTTGGACAAATATGTCCAGTTTGGTGAGTTTACCAGGTAAGGTGGCTGATGGGCCAGGTGGTCACACAGCTGTGTGCCATCTGAGGTAGGGACGTGCAGGTGCTGAAATGCTTCCTTCCAATAAAGAGCTCCTGCATTCAGGACACCCCCACCACTCCCCAAGACTGCCCGTGCTCTGGCACCTCAAGGATCCATGCCTGGCCCACAGTCCCTGATCAGCCATCCCAACTGCTCAGGACTTGTGCCCCACTCCTCAGGGCCCAGGCAGAGGCAGGTGGAGGCCCTGTGCAGCTCTGTAGATAGGAGCCTCGACCCTGCCTATGGTTGTCTTGGGTCCAGGCCAGATGTCCTGGACGGGGCAGGGTGCACTTCTTACCCACAATCATGCCAACCTCACACCGGCGGTCTTCATAGTAGCAGGAGATCATTGTGGCCACGGTGTCATTCACCATCGCCACCACATCCATTTCAAAGTCCTGCCAAAGGTACAGAGGCAGTGGTGATGGAGTGGCGTCTCGTCTCAGCCTGCTCCAGGCCAGGCAAAGGAGGCCAAGAACCCTTCCAGGGGCAAGCCCAGAAGGCTCTCCCTGGCATCCTGGCCTGGGGGGTCATGGCAGTTTTGGGGCCAGGAGCAGGTACCACCTCACCCCTCTCCGTTTGATGGCATCCCTCAAGAGTCCCACGATGTTGTTCCCCTCTGCTCCTGAGGCCTTGAAGCCCTTGGTCCAGTTGAGAAGAATACCCTGAGGGAAGAGGTGGGCTGCTGATGAATGCTGGGGGACAGGGAGCTAGCTCGGACCACAGGGACATGTACCCCACTTTGTAGTTGAGGAAACAGGCTCAAAGCAGCCACATAACTTTGAAAAGTGTTGGAAACAATTCTCTAGGAATATCTCATTTCTGCAGGAAATAAGGACAGCCCCTGTGCTACCTGGGGATGTCCTTGCCACCCCATCCCTGACCCTGCCAAGGACCAGTCCCCACCCAGCATGTGTGGGCCTGTCTGCAGAACTGGGCATTGCTCAGGGCCCTGATGGACCAATTCCTAGATTCCAGCCAGTCTGGGAATGTTTGTATAGTAAAGCCCAGAGTCATCATGCTAGGGTAGGAATAAGGTCCAGAGGGGAGCGGCCTAGTGTAGGGCCTGGGCTCCTCTCCCATAGTGCCCACTGGGGTGAAGGTGCTGCCTGGCCCTCGGTGCATGGGGGATGGGGGCCTGGAAAACCAAGGCAGCCTGGAAAACTGCTCCTGCTTCTGCCTGTGGTGCTGGACTGGCCCTGTGGACCAGCGGTCTCGTGTGTTCTGCATGCTCACATGTGTAATTGACCTGTGTGCATGTACACACATGTATGACATGTATACGTGTGCATGATTAACATGTGTGAATAGCCAGGTATAATTGTATAACAGTGACATGTGGACATTATTAATATGTAATTGATCTGTGTGTGTACATAGGTATGTAAATTTATATCAATTTTTATAAATAAATTACATGCATATATTTATGTATAATTAACATAAGTGTGAGTCTGTATATGTACAATTTACATGTGTGTGTAACTTACATGCATATATACGTGTAATTGACATGTGCGCATGTGTAACAATGGCAGGTCACCCTCAGGGAACAGGCAGGTGGAGCCTCAGATGGCCCACAGTGACAACACACAGGCATGCTGGAGGCGACCACCTGGGACTGTGCTGCCAGTGTCCATGGGGGTTGAGGCGCAGCTCAGTGCCCTGACAGGCCATGGGATGGCAACAGTGTGCACGCAGGGCCTTGTGGGCAGGCTTCAACAACTCTTAAGAATCAACTGCCACTACAAGTCCTCAAGTCTCATAAAAGGTAAGTGATGGAGCCACTGTTTGAATCCAAGCCTGTTTCTCACCATGGGGGCTGCATCTGAAGGCAGAGTTATGGAGTGCCTTTCTTTGGGGAGTGCACCCCCATCCACCCCCACCTCAGTCCTACCTTGTCGATGTCTTCGTGCCTCACAGGAAAGGAAAAGGTAAAGCCCAAGGGCAGCTTCTTATGTTTCATCTGATGCTTGTCCAGAAAGTCAGAGATGCACTCGGAGATGTAATCGAAGAGCTGGAGACACACAGAGGGCGCTCCTGGGCCTGTGCCCTAGGGCTCCTCAGGCCAGGGGAGCCATGGGTGCCAGGAGAGCATCGCCTGCAGGCCGGCCCCTCAGTCCCCCGTTCCTGATGGCCCTCACCTTCTCTGATGCCAGCTGCTGATGGCAATTCCAGGGACAGGGTGACATCAGAACAGGGCTGGTCCCCAGCCCAGCTGTGCCCTGTCCATGCATTCCTTCCAGCTGGGCCCAGTGACATCAGCCTCAGGCTTTGCACAGACATGTCTGCCTGGCTGTGACTACTGTTTGTCTCCAGCACCCAGAGTGTCCTTTGCTACCTGGGGGTGTCCTTTCTACCCCATCCCTGACCCTGCTGAGGACCAGTCCCCACCCAGCATGTGTGGGCCTGTCTGCAGAACTGGGCATTGTTCGGGGCCCTGCTGACTGATCAAGCTCCCTGCTAGGTGCCAGGGCCCAGCCAGGCCCCCATACCATCTGCCACCTTGATTCATGCCCAGGCCCGAGGGTGTGGGGATGGCAAGAGCCAGACCGCCATGGGCCTCCTGCCTCAAAACCCCTCAGAGCTCTGGCTCTGCCCCTTCCCCCAAAGCCAGTATGTTTCTTTTATTGTTGTAATTTTATGTCAGACTTAAGATGATTGAATTATTTCATTTTAATTTATAAGCATTACATTACTGCCCATGAAAAAATCCAACTGTGTATTTGATTTCAAGTGGTCAAACTCCAACCAGTGATTCTGGACATTCAAGATAAATCCTAAATGCCCCTTGACCTTTCCAGCAGTCGCCATCATGGTCATCCTCTGGATGATCAGCAGGCCCCCAACCTCTCGGATGGCACGTTCACGGGGAGTCCGCATCAGGGAGCCTTGTGGCACCTGAAGCTGGCAGGTCACTCAGGAAGACAGGACACCATTGCACAAGGCCCCCAGACACATCCTGACCCCTGCTCTGTGGCCAAGCATGGCACTTTCCACCTGAGATCTTTCTGTCACTTTCCTCACAATTCTCAGGAGCAAAGAGACTTCACAAAAATCTTGCCTTTAACCCCAAAGCAACACACGTGAACACCTACTCCATCTAAAGCTTGTATTTTCCTCAGTTTCCAATAAAGCCACTTAGATGGGGGCCCTGCTGCTTGTGCAGACAGCATGGCTGCTGTCAGCCCACTTGGTGTCCATGCTGTTGGGGACAAGGGCTGCAGTGCCAGGAGGATGGAGAGCACACAGGCTGAGTGCCGGCTGGCCCAATGTGTTCTCTCTGCCGCCCTTCACATTTCTGATCTTTGTGGGAAACGTGTCAGGGGTGCAACTTGATGTAGCCATGCCCCGTGGCTGCCCTCTAGTCCCCTCAGCTGCTTCCCAGGGCCCTCTGAGGCTGGGTGACCCTCCCACCCACAGCTCCCCCGACCTCTGGTGGACAGGTGAGCCCTCCAGGACTAGCCCAGCTTTGAGATGGAGAATGGTCTTGACCCCTGCCTTTGGGCCCCCAAACCCCCAGGACTGTGGACACCAGCCCTCCAACCCCATGGCCTCTCAGCCCCATGAAGCCCTGGGCCCTTTGCCCCACTGGCCCCATGATCCCCATTCCCTGGCCCCCAGCCCAAGCTGCTCACCATCTCAGCGGTGCCAGTCATGGCATCCTCAGGGATGGAATACATCTGGTGCTTGGTCTTCACGTTCCACTGCCCTGCCTCCCCCTCCCCCACCTTCACCAGCATCACCCGGAAGTTGGTGCCGCCCAGGTCCAAGGAGAGGAAGTCCCCAACTTCTGCAGCCACAGGGAGAAATGAATCAGCCTCAGGTTACCCCAGGCAGGACCCCCAAGGCCAGGAGAGGGGAAGGGGACCAAGAGAGCTGGAGAAGAGGCTGGTGAAGCCAGACACCTGGGGGACCCAGAGGAATCTGTGGTAGGGACCAAAGGGGAGCTGGGGAAGTCGGTGGGAGGCCCCTGCCTTGGACTGAAGTCACCCTGAGCCCAGGGCCCACCTGGCCTAGTTAAATGGCCCAACTCAGGAATGGGCAGGGTTCCCCCAGGTGACCACAGGGAACCAGTCTCACTGTGGGATAATAAAAGCCAGCTTTCCTGAGGCCAGGGTGAGAACCGCTGTGTCTGGGACCAGCATCCTGGGTTTCTCCCTACTAGGCCTGTGGACAGCTGCCTCCAGTCAAGGAGCCTGGTTGCAGATGGGTGCCATTCCACTTGCCCTGGGCCATGGTACCTGAGCCTTCAGGGGTGGAGCGCACATAGGTGGGCAGCATCTTCACACTGGCCTCCTCGTGGGTCTCCAGCCTCAGGCCTCGGTCCATTTCCTTCTGCATCCGCCTCATCACCTTCTTCAGGTCTTCCTCCTGCAGCTGGAACTCAGCCAGGATCTGCTCCACCTGCACAAGGAGAGGGCGGCAGCACCTGGTGGGGGAGGGGCCGCTGGGGCCTGATACCAGCATTTCCCGCACACAGAGGGGCTCACTTGCCCTCTGCCTCTTGGTACAAGGAGACCTGTCATTGCAAACTACCACAGAGAAAACCAACTGAAAAGTTAGAACAGCAAAGTTCCAAAACCAACAACAAATGAATGTGGCCTGGGCAGTGGGAAGGCGAGGCACAAGGACAGGGCAAGCTGGGGGGACTGCAGGTGCCAGCCCAACAAAAGAAAGTGCTAGCCCAGGGCTGAAAGAGCGTGTCTGGAGGGCGATGGGAAGCTGGCATTCTACCTCCAGGAGTTCACACCAAGAGGATAAACGGGCCAGTGTGCATACTGTGCACAAGGGGAAATCAAGGCAACACTAGGTGGAGGCTTGTCTGGTTGAGGGAAGCATGGCTGCCCATGGGAGAAAGGCTCAGGCTGCCTAGGGCGGGGGCACTATCTGCTGACAGTGGGCAGGCCTCAGCACAAAGCTCAGGGTCAGGCCACCGTCACGAGAATGGGTTGCCTTGGGGGTGCTCCTGGCACACCTTCCAGGGAGTGGCTCCCCCACCCCAGCCCCTCAGTGTGTACCAAGAAACTGGACACCACCCTGCCCTGTGCATGGACAGGTGTGTTAGGGCCCCAGCCCTGGGCACAAGAGCATGCATTCATGGAGGGAAGTCTGCTTTGATTCAGGGGCTATTTGGTCCAAAAAGGAAAGGAAAGACCCTTGGATGAGTCCATTCTTCACAAAACTCATGCCCTGGGCAGCAGTGTGCTGTGGGACACCAGTGGGGAGACTCTGACTCCATCTGCCCTTCTTCCTCAGACTTTAGAGCCCACACTTTGTTGGGTGGTGGGTGAAGGAATGCAGCACATTAAAGGAAGGCTTTAAGAGAAGCCCCTTCTGGCCATGCTAAGAGGGAAGTATATTGCAATACAGGCCTACCTCAGGAAAGAAAAACAATCCCAAATGAACAGTCTAAACTCACAATTAATGAAACTAGAAAAGGAAGAACAAATGAGGCCCAAAGTCAGTAGAAGGGGGGACATAATAAAGATTAGAGCAGAAATAAATAAAATCGAGAAGAATAAAACAATAGAAAGAATTAATGAAAGCAGGAGCTGGTTCTTCAAGAAAATAAATGAAACAGATAAACCCCTAGCCAGACATATGAAGAAGAAAACAGCGTGTACACACATAAACAGAATCAGAAATGAGAAAGGAAAAATCACTATGGACACCACAGAAATGAAAAGAATTATGAGAGAATACTGTGAAAACATATATGCTAACAAACTGGATAACGTAGAAGAAATGGACAACTTTCTAGAAAAATACAACCTTCAAAGGCTGTCCCAGGAAGAAACAGAATATCTGAGTACACCAATTACCAGCAAGGAAATTCAACTGGTAATCAAAAAACTACCTAAGAACAAAACTCCTGGAACAGATGGCTTCACTGCTGAATTTTATCAAACATTTAGTGAAGACCTAATACCTGTCCTCCTTAAAGTTTTCCAAAAAGTAGAAGAGGAGGCAATACTCCCAAACTCATACTATGAGGCCAGCATCACACTAATACCAAAACCAGGCAAAGACCCCACAAAAAAAGAAAATTGCAGGCCAACATCCCTGAAGAACATAGATGCAAAAATACTCAACAAAATATTAGCAAACAAAATTTTAAAAATACATCAAAAAGATCATCCATCATGATCAAGTGGGATTCATCCCAGGGATGCAAGGATGTTACAACATTAAAAAATCCATCAACATTCAACACATCAACCAAAAAAAAGGACAAAAATCACATGATCATCTCTATAGATACTGAAAAAGCATTTGACAAAATTCAGCATCCACTCATGATAAAACGTCTCAACAAAATGGGTATAGAGGTCAAATACCTCAACATAATTAAGGCCATATATGACAAACCCACAGCCAACATTATACTGAACAGCAAGAAGCTGAAAGCTTTTCTTTTAAGATCGGGAACAAGACAGGGATGCCC